CAAATTTTGGGTATTTTTTTTTTTTTTTTTTTTTTTTTTTTTTTGGGATGAGAACTATATAATTATATTACACCTAAACATATGTAAACAATCCTATATTCTTCAAAAAATAATAAATCAAGATTCAATTAACATTGATAGTTAGGTAATAAGAGTAAACTAAGATATAATTACGCCTTGTTTGGTATATATTAAAAATCAATTTTAATCTCAAGTCAAAGTCAATAATTAATACCACATATTTCACGAGATTCACAACTTTTTAAATGTATATTTCATCAACTTTTATCAAAATCTACTAAAAATCTAATTTTTATGTACAGCAAAGGAATGGCTACATGTTGAAAGCTAGAAGGCAAGATGGCATTGCTACTCAGAGCTTTTATTAGCTAGCTAACATAAGATAGATTTCCATAAGTACTTTTATTCAAATCCAAATTCTTATGATTCCCTTTCCACAAATGAGTTTACAACACTTCATTTTGTCCCCACAATATCACTAACAATATCACTTTGAGACAGGGAAAGACTGAGGCAGAAATTACATTTTTTTGAGTTTAGTACATACATGACAGTGGATAATATATTTAGAAGCTATTAAAACTAGTCAAAATGAAAGCTTTCTATATCACCAAACTGATCTATACCCTCCATATCTAGCTCATGCAAACTATTTGATGTGCATGAATAAAAGCCAGAAGCCACTTCTTGATCATGATCACAAGGTCTTGTTTTCAGACCCCACACCGGTGCATATCCAGACGATGTTTTCTCCATTGGCACTATTTTGTGCCCCGAGTTAGAATCATCCAGTGATGATTTTACATCAGACATATCAGTACTTTGTGTCTCTCGTTTAGGTTCTTCTTTTCCTGAAGGAATATTGATCATGGAGTATGATGGATGGTCTTGATTGAATGGGATTTTTGAATCAAAACTGACTAGATTAAGGGATTCCACAGGATCTAAATCTACAATATGTGGAGCCCTCATTCTATCAGTACATGTATGATGATCAAAGTATGTAATTTTATACAAAATGGGGTCTTCTTTGATTGTTTCTACTTGTCTTGCTGCTTTGCAGCCTTCATACTTGTGGGTGCATCTGTAATAACATCTGTTGACACAAAAACAAATTTAAATCTTGTTTATCATAGTTAATCCACTACCAAATTTACTGCAAAAATTCTTGATCATATAATATATTGTAATTATTGATAATTGTGACTCAAAATATGAATATCAATGAAATATATTGCTGTCTACTTGAAAGAAAATGGGTAGTAACAATTCTTGATTTGATTCAATTTACATATTTCATCAACTTGTTTATCAAAAATTCCCCCTAAATCTTGAACAAATTATTATCAATAATCTGAAATTTTTCTTGTTTATCATAGTTAATCCACTACCAAATTTACTGCAAAAATTCTTGATCATATAATATATTGTAATTATTGATAATTGTGACTCAAAATATGAATATCAATGAAATATATTGCTGTCTACTTGAAAGAAAATGGGTAGTAACAATTCTTGATTTGATTCAATTTACATATTTCATCAACTTGTTTATCAAAAATTCCCCCTAAATCTTGAACAAATTATTATCAATAATCTGAAATTTTTGACTTAATTATTTGTCCAAGTTAAGAAAGGAAATAAATATGAAAAATATAGATGTATATTCACCTTGGATATTCTGAATTGAGAATTTTTTTCTGTCCATATTTCCTCCATGCATAACCATCATCCATCGTAGGAGAAACTTTATTCCTTAAATCTGAGGTCCTTCTGCAAAACCAAATAATATATATAAATACATTTTTATTTTACACATAGAAAACATAATAATGTAGTAAAAAAATTGCATTTTTATATATGAAAAATATATTTAAATACATTTTCATTTTGTGCATAGAAAACATAATAATGTAGTAAAAAAAAAATACATTTTTATATATGAAAAATACTAATGTACTTGAATTAAGGTATTCCAACCTAAACCCACCTAGCAAATTCCCCCAAATGCAACCCTACGACTGAATATTTAATCACCCTAGTTAAATACATATACTTGATGTCAACTAGCTCAAGAAAAAAGAAAAAGAAACATAGCTAACAATTTTTTAGGGCCACACTTACGAACCCTAGTGAAGAGGGAATTTCTTATCAAATAATAATAAAAGAAATTGCTTAAAAAATGAAATAATAATAATAATTTAACCTTCTCTTGTAACAACCCCTTCGATCCTTGACCTTTTCCGGCTTCTTCTCGATCTCACGGGAGCAGACTGAGGAGCCACTATCGCCGCCGTCGATCTGGAATGTTTCATCTGAACTTAACACAGAAAGAGTCTCAGTGAAAGATCTCAGGATTTTCGCAGCTAATTCCTCAGCAGAGACAGACCCATTATTTTTCAGTGGCTTATTAAGTAGGTTTTGAAGCTGGGCTGTAAATTCTTTGCCTTTCACTAACTCTCTAATCAATCTTTCCCTCTGTGTAACTAGGGTTTCACTCATAGTGCTCATTTTTTCTCACTCACTCAGTGTGTGTAAATTTCTGAGATCTGATTCTGAGGGGAAAATGGGTTTTGCTCTTTTATTAGGCCAAGTTGGGAGAGAGAGAGAGAGAGAGAGAGAGGCAAATTGGAGGAAGTTTGCAGGCAAGGGGAGAGAAATTGTACGGCACCTTAAATTTCGTATACGACAAAAAAAGTGTGACAAGGGTCTTGCGTCATAGGCTGATGTATTCAAGGTTGACGACAATTTTTGGGGGAAAATTTCACCCTGGATCCTGAACCTTTTGAATCATGTTCCCAACCTTTTATTCGTGACATTCATGTCTTCAACATTTTAAAACGAGTATCTCACCAAGCGAAACTGCCTTTTTGGACGTTAAATGTCAATGGTACACGAACATGATATTTATTCGAATCGGCAAAATTGTCTAATAAAGAGTAATGCTTAATGTAATTTCAGTAGTCAACTCTTGCTTTTCGAAATAAAAAATAAACTTATTTAGACAAATTTATCCTTTTCGTCCAGATATCATGTGTGTTGCCTAGAAATTCAATGCCTTAATCGACATTTTCCGCCAAGTAAGGATACCGCGTGTGTAGTGTTAGAATTTGGAATTGTGTATTATAAATAGAAAGTTGGGGACATGACTGCCGCACCAATGAAAAATTGAGGACCCTAAAGGAATTTACCCTTTATCTAGAACCAGTTTCTAGATAAAGAAGCAAAATTCCTATTTTTTTCCATTTTTAAGTGGATATAAATCCACCGAGAATGGTCCAATGTTTCTCTTTTTGCCATTTTTAAGTGGAAATAAATTCCCTGAGAATGTGGTTTTCTATTCTCGTCATTTTGTTGTTTATCTCAAAGTTTTGAGTTTGATCAATAACCTAATTGATTTAAAACAAAAATCATACTAAAAAATTGGGGACTAAATTCCATGAATGATCAATTTATTTATTCAAGACTTCAATCACGTCATAAGTTCTCAATTGCATTTAAAAAAATAATAATAATAATAATAATAATAATCTTTGTTAGTATTGACTTGCTAACAAAAAAATGGTTAAACATCGTGAAAAGTAGTGATTTAAACTCTTATAAAATGATTTATACTTTTATACTTATCCCAACATAAGATTTTATCAAACGTTAGACGGTGGCGTATTTAAGTCGAACCAACCCATCCATTTGAACTTAATAATTTTGATATTATATTAAGATTCGAGTTTCGAATATGTCATTTTTATTATGAATTTGTGATAACCAATAGAATTCTCCAATTTCTAACCTAATCTCCTCCGTAGCATTCCACGTGCCACAAACTGCTACACAAATTACCCATCAAGCATTGAAAGGGTTTCCTTGAAACATGCAATACCACAAGCCAAATCGCGACACTCTATACTGGAAAAAATAATAAATAATAAATAAATAAATGACAAAATAATATTTTTCCGTTTTATTCAAAAAACGAAGAAATTGCTAATTTCATTCTTGAAATTGAAAAATGAGTGTAACTTTTGTTGATGCTCCAACAGTCGTACAATTTGTAAACGATTTCAAAACATTCAACAAACGGGTAAAAAAATATTTTTCACGTTTTCTCATGATTTTTTTTTATTTTTAACACCACGTTCATAATATATATATATATATATATATATAATTTTTTTCAAAGATTCAACTCTCAAAAAACTCTTTATCAATCAAGCACTTTTATTAATTTCTAACTAGTCTCACTGATTAGATAAAATGGAGAGAGGTCTTATTTTCATTTCTTTCATTGTTATAATTATTGACTTTTAGGGATTTTAAGAAAATTTTCAATCTAACATAATTTTAAATCGATTTCATTATAAATTTGTTGTATGTATATAATTATTTAGGGTTTTGATAATGGTACATCAGGATGTACCTGATGGTGTACACCCCACTCACATGGACAAGAGACCCACTCGAATAAAATATCATTTCTTTCACATGGATCTCACACACATGTGAGTGGGTGTACACCATTCGGTACATTCCATTCTGTGCCACTAGACAAATTCAATTATCTATTACAATTTTTGACCACTCTAATTTCACTTTCTTTTTTCTTTCTACTTTATCACCCTTTCTAAAGATTCTTTTGAACAACTCTTTGAAATTAAAGAGAGTCTCGACCACTCTCCAACTAATGATAAATACAAGAACCCGTGTTGGTAAGTAGTGCACGCCAATACTTCTTGATTGTTTCCCTCTGGACTTTGAATTTTAATACCCAAATTTCAAATTTATCATCCCTCTTATCTGTTTGAAAAATGATTGAGGTATATTGTGGTGTCCACACCCGGCGCCTTGGTATTGGCCGAGGTGCCTGTGAGCCCAGGTGTGACAGGCGCCTCGGCCAGGTGTCCATTTTGAACATCACAATGTACTCATAGCACTGCCGTGTTTGTTTTCCCCACTTTTCTCTCTTCCTTCATCTTTTCTATCTTTTGCCGACATTCGCACCTGCAGTCTCACATCATAATTAAAGTATTATTATAATTTAATATCAGAAATTAAATAAACGTTACTTTTCATGCACTGCAAGTTGATCTATTTGATTCCTCTTTAACTTTATATGAATAATTGATGTTATAATGTCACTATCATAATAGTGGCTGTTAAATGTGGATAGATAATTAATCCGGACAGACTGGATGTGAATGGATAACAAAGAAGAGTAAATGTGGTAATAATCCATGGTGCTTCTGAGAAAAAAATAAAATAATAATGCATTTTAGTTTCATATAATTGGTTGGAACTCGAATCTACAATGAAAACATACATTTCTTTTTTAACCTCGTCTAATATTTTTTAATGTAACATATCAAACACATAGTTAATGCGAGTCTCATTTTACATTGGTCTGACTTGGATTTTCCTTTCATGCTTGGATCCTGCACATCTATTTGATTGGTTGAAAAAGACATTTTCGGAGAATAGATAAACATCTTCATATTATCTGGGGAGGAATGAATTGTAATTCCATTATTATTATGATTAGAAAACTTGACAGAAGCACAGTTTTTCACACATCGCACAATATCTCATTTAGGAATATACAACTAGCATAATTCATGCAAGATTTCTTGCTGATTTTTTTCCACAGCTGCAGTGTTGAGAATTTTAAAATTTGCTGTACTCTTAGCAGATGTGAAGCAACTGTTATCTCATTTCTAGCATCTAAGGGATCGAATCGAACGGTGGTTCATTTTCTGGCAAGGATGGTGATAATTCAAGATTCATGAACAAACCGGCAGGGACAGCTGCAGAAATGGACTGAATTGAAAGCAGCGTAGTTGATGTCATTCTAGCATCCACCGCCACCTATTTGCTGACTCTCAACGTGTAAAATCAACCTTTATCCCTTACATTTTTTCCTTCTTTCTTGACATTTAAGTAATACTGTAAGAGATGAACTTCAATCGATTCAGAGTACTTAAAATTTTCATAGCATGCTGCCAAGAATTTTATATATATAATGTCAAGAATTAAAATTTAGCTCACGGACTGGCCCCAGAATTAAAATTTAGTACGCGGACCCCAGCCCTGAAATTTGACACACAAGGTTAAATGGCACAGAGCTCTCTTATGTGAAATATGCAACGGATAAGGCTTCTTGGGCAGATTCTATAATAACTGGGAAGTAAAGGATGTGGCACTCCATAATTATAAGAAAATAAAATATCCTTTCTTCTATTATTACAACACAGTAAATAAACAATACATGACTTTTTTATGTTGATCATATCAACATGTAAAAGAACCCCCTCGACTTTTATGCTATACAATGGTGCAACTTGGTTGTCTTTCATCTGTACAAGAAGAGAAAAGAAGAAGAAGAAGAAGAAAATAGCAGAGAAAATGTGAAGTTTTTCACAAAAATGCATCCATGATGAACTTACAGTGGAACATTGCAATATGTAGGGATCATTATTCAGGGATTCTTGAAAATCCGAGCACTATTTCTGAACATTGTATTTCAGACTCTCAATTTCAGCTCACTTGTCCAAAACTTCACTAGGGGAAGAATATCCCATTAACCGATGCAGTGGAAAATTTGATGGTTCTGGTAGCTCTTCAATTTCAAAGGATCCTTTTTTCCACTTAGCCACCATCGGTGAAGCTCCGGTCGGTTTAGAGGTTTGCAACGAACTTTCATTCTTTATCCTGTGTCCCCTCCATACAGACTTCATTTTTGTATCTTCCATGGGCTCAAAAGAACTGCTAGACGACATCTTTCTGTTGTAAGCATTCCACTCAAGGCGGTCAGCTGAAGGTGTAAGAAATGAAGCCTCCCCTTCTGTTGAGCAGCTTCTACAGAAAGACAGCCCATAGTCGTCAGAACATGACACAGGTTCAGCATGTGAACATGAATTAGCATGAGATGTTGGCACCAGAATTCTGTGACTGATCGCATCACTATAATCATCAGCCTCACTGGGCGGCGGAGCTGAAGCTTCTGGAAAGTATGGAACTATGTGCATTCTTTCCAAGAGCGAGAATTTCAGAACCTTCCCACATGCATTGCACCTCAGCTGATGATATTTTTTCTTGAAGAGGAGAAAGTCTGAAGGCAGCTGCAACAGTTCCGAGCAATGATAACAAGAAATAAGTGGGGCTCCACCAGATATTGGCCGGAGATGTCTCTTCATTATGTGATGCTTTTCCCGCGAATATAATCTTTTCATCTCTTTGTCTTTATGCTTCCTCTCATCGGACATTTTCTCTAGTACCCATAAAGATTGCTCAGAGCTCGTGTAATGCTGGGGACTGGAGGAACTAGAGGCAAGGACATTACAGCAGTTATGACCAGTGTGGACGACACAGTGACCATTGTTACAGAGCACGGAATGTGAAGGTAACTGAGCGGAGCGGTGCCAGTCTTGCGGACAACAATGCAAACATGAGCAGTTAACCTGGTGTCTGTAGTGAGCAGACTCTCCAGAAAATGCCATTCTCAAGTCCTTGCGTCTTTGGGGCCAACCTTTAAACGGACTGTGTCTGACAGGATATGTGGGATGGCTCAAATCTGCATACACCTCCCTTTCTGGTGCTAAATGTTTGTAGTACAAGGGAGTTAACTTTTCCTTCACAACACCAGCAGGAAACCTTCCACTTGCTGTTAGTTTTGAAAGTTGCATCCTATTGAGCTGATCTTTCAGTTCAAACACCGTTCTCAACAAGTCCACTTTGTCTGGTTCAGAGTATGTAGGCCTATCTGATGACTGGTAAGCTCGATGATTTTGGAGCGAACTTCGATGATAACTTGATGGGCTTCCATTTCTGTGGCCAGCTTGGAAATCTCTAGAAGTGAATGCCAACCTAGGTGCTGCTGTTTCTTTGTCCAATCTCATCCTATTACCACTCTTGTGGCCACGTCTTCTGGTTTCAGGCAAATCAAATTGGCGCCTAATGCTGCTGCCTTCCATGGAATGATATTGCTTTCCTTGTAATGAGGACGAGGAACTGCCTGCCCAATATTGCATCTCTGACTCACTACTGCTCATGCTAGTCTTATTTAATCCATCCTTTTTTTGCAATTCAGCAGTGCTGGTGGAGAATTTATCCTTGAACTTTCTTCTAGGGGGCTGCGAGACATGGTTGGGAACTTGATCATCGGCTCCATCATAAGAAGATACGCTGCCCTCATAAATATAGTAACGTTTGGTCATTGGAGATTTAGACATATCTACATGTTTAACATCGTGCTTAGAACTAGGGTCGACAGTGGGTAAACTAGTATCTACTGAGCTGACTCTACCAAAACTTCGTGTATCTTCTCTATGAGAATGCTCCAGCTGCTCAGCATCGGGAGAAAAGCGATTAAGAGATGTATTGTTCTCATTAAAGCACCCGTGAGCAGCAGCTAAAGAATCTCCTGTATCTCCATTCACATGATTTTCTGTGCCTGAGCTTCTGATGAGAGGAAAATTCTTGATATCCTCATTTGCTTCAGCCACGCCTCCAGCTACCAGTGAAGATTTTCCATTTGCAGGCGAAGCAATCTCAAAGGGTGAAGAATCTTGACTATTATTATCCATTTCATCGTGAAGCCACCCATTCAGACCCTTTTCATTATTTTCTGGCGAAAGATGAGTACTTTCGTCCCCTTCTCTATGTTCTCTACCATCTGGAGGCAACTTATTCTTCTGTTGATCATGCTCGGATAAAGACCGAACTTCATCAAGGAAGTTGTCAACTGCACACGGTTCTGTTCGAGAATCTCCACATTCCCTTTGTTCTCTACCATCTGGAGGCAACTTATTCTTCTGTTGATCATGCTCGGATAAAGACCGAACTTCATCAAGGAAGTTGTCAATTCATATCTAAGACTTTAACTATTACTCATTTCAAAACTAAGAAATAAAGTTTAAAATTTCAAAAATTAGATATTATAAATTTTATTTATGATTTAATTAATTAAATACATTAAGATCACAAATTTATACAATTTGATTACAAATTATCGAATTAATTAGTTACAAATTATTTCTAGATCACAAATGAAAAATTTTATAGGTCACAAATTATTCCTCAATCATAAATAAAAAAATTTTATAGGTTACAATTTATTCATCGATCACAGAAATAAATTTTTTACAGATCACAATTTATTTATCGATCACAAATTGTAAATTGGTCACAAATGATTTTTCAATAACAACTTAATAAATTGTGAGAAACGATCACATTTTTTAGTTCGCGTATTATTTATTGATCATAAATTAACAAATTTATTGATCACAAACACCCCATCCCATTCCCATCCACCACACCATCGCTACAACCACTATGACCACGGCCACCTCCACCAAACCGTGCAAAACCACCACCACCACACACCACATCAAAGCAAACCCACCACTACAGTTAATAGTAGGGATTTTTCTTTAGTGTGCAGCTAAGAGGAAAAGATTTTATTCATTTTTAAAAGAATTTGAATAATAGTTCTTAGTGTGCAGTTAAGAGGAAAAGATTTTTCTTTATTTGGATTCCTTTTCCCTTTCTTGAAAAGCCCAAGGAGTAATTGCTTTTGTCTTTTCCCATTTTCCATCAAAACAAATCATAGGATACTACCAGTTCACTAGGGTTTGAACACGTAGGGATATAGGTAACCTTTTATTGTTCAAAAGTAGACTAATTTATTTAATTTTTATTTATATATTTATTTTTCATAACAACATTTTTCCCAATTAATTTCTGTAAATATATATCTATATCTTTTTAATTTGTAGTCATTTCTTTTCTTTTTATTTTGCAAAACTGCACGCGTAGTTTATATAAGCATGCATATCATCTTTCATTCAGTTTTCAAACTTAGCGATGATTTTTTTTTTTTTTTTTTTGGGATGAGAACTATATAATTATATTACACCTAAACATATGTAAACAATCCTATATTCTTCAAAAAATAATAAATCAAGATTCAATTAACATTGATAGTTAGGTAATAAGAGTAAACTAAGATATAATTACGCCTTGTTTGGTATATATTAAAAATCAATTTTAATCTCAAGTCAAAGTCAATAATTAATACCACATATTTCACGAGATTCACAACTTTTTAAATGTATATTTCATCAACTTTTATCAAAATCTACTAAAAATCTAATTTTTATGTACAGCAAAGGAATGGCTACATGTTGAAAGCTAGAAGGCAAGATGGCATTGCTACTCAGAGCTTTTATTAGCTAGCTAACATAAGATAGATTTCCATAAGTACTTTTATTCAAATCCAAATTCTTATGATTCCCTTTCCACAAATGAGTTTACAACACTTCATTTTGTCCCCACAATATCACTAACAATATCACTTTGAGACAGGGAAAGACTGAGGCAGAAATTACATTTTTTTGAGTTTAGTACATACATGACAGTGGATAATATATTTAGAAGCTATTAAAACTAGTCAAAATGAAAGCTTTCTATATCACCAAACTGATCTATACCCTCCATATCTAGCTCATGCAAACTATTTGATGTGCATGAATAAAAGCCAGAAGCCACTTCTTGATCATGATCACAAGGTCTTGTTTTCAGACCCCACACCGGTGCATATCCAGACGATGTTTTCTCCATTGGCACTATTTTGTGCCCCGAGTTAGAATCATCCAGTGATGATTTTACATCAGACATATCAGTACTTTGTGTCTCTCGTTTAGGTTCTTCTTTTCCTGAAGGAATATTGATCATGGAGTATGATGGATGGTCTTGATTGAATGGGATTTTTGAATCAAAACTGACTAGATTAAGGGATTCCACAGGATCTAAATCTACAATATGTGGAGCCCTCATTCTATCAGTACATGTATGATGATCAAAGTATGTAATTTTATACAAAATGGGGTCTTCTTTGATTGTTTCTACTTGTCTTGCTGCTTTGCAGCCTTCATACTTGTGGGTGCATCTGTAATAACATCTGTTGACACAAAAACAAATTTAAATCTTGTTTATCATAGTTAATCCACTACCAAATTTACTGCAAAAATTCTTGATCATATAATATATTGTAATTATTGATAATTGTGACTCAAAATATGAATATCAATGAAATATATTGCTGTCTACTTGAAAGAAAATGGGTAGTAACAATTCTTGATTTGATTCAATTTACATATTTCATCAACTTGTTTATCAAAAATTCCCCCTAAATCTTGAACAAATTATTATCAATAATCTGAAATTTTTGACTTAATTATTTGTCCAAGTTAAGAAAGGAAATAAATATGAAAAATATAGATGTATATTCACCTTGGATATTCTGAATTGAGAATTTTTTTCTGTCCATATTTCCTCCATGCATAACCATCATCCATCGTAGGAGAAACTTTATTCCTTAAATCTGAGGTCCTTCTGCAAAACCAAATAATATATATAAATACATTTTTATTTTACACATAGAAAACATAATAATGTAGTAAAAAAATTGCATTTTTATATATGAAAAATATATTTAAATACATTTTCATTTTGTGCATAGAAAACATAATAATGTAGTAAAAAAATTGCATTTTTATATATGAAAAATATATTTAAATACATTTTCATTTTGTGCATAGAAAACATAATAATGTAGTAAAAAAATTGCATTTTTATATATGAAAAATATATTTAAATACATTTTCATTTTGTGCATAGAAAACATAATAATGTAGTAAAAAAAAAATACATTTTTATATATGAAAAATACTAATGTACTTGAATTAAGGTATTCCAACCTAAACCCACCTAGCAAATTCCCCCAAATGCAACCCTACGACTGAATATTTAATCACCCTAGTTAAATACATATACTTGATGTCAACTAGCTCAAGAAAAAAGAAAAAGAAACATAGCTAACAATTTTTTAGGGCCACACTTACGAACCCTAGTGAAGAGGGAATTTCTTATCAAATAATAATAAAAGAAATTGCTTAAAAAATGAAATAATAATAATAATTTAACCTTCTCTTGTAACAACCCCTTCGATCCTTGACCTTTTCCGGCTTCTTCTCGATCTCACGGGAGCAGACTGAGGAGCCACTATCGCCGCCGTCGATCTGGAATGTTTCATCTGAACTTAACACAGAAAGAGTCTCAGTGAAAGATCTCAGGATTTTCGCAGCTAATTCCTCAGCAGAGACAGACCCATTATTTTTCAGTGGCTTATTAAGTAGGTTTTGAAGCTGGGCTGTAAATTCTTTGCCTTTCACTAACTCTCTAATCAATCTTTCCCTCTGTGTAACTAGGGTTTCACTCATAGTGCTCATTTTTTCTCACTCACTCAGTGTGTGTAAATTTCTGAGATCTGATTCTGAGGGGAAAATGGGTTTTGCTCTTTTATTAGGCCAAGTTGGGAGAGAGAGAGAGAGAGAGAGAGAGAGAGAGAGAGGCAAATTGGAGGAAGTTTGCAGGCAAGGGGAGAGAAATTGTACGGCACCTTAAATTTCGTATACGACAAAAAAAGTGTGACAAGGGTCTTGCGTCATAGGCTGATGTATTCAAGGTTGACGACAATTTTTGGGGGAAAATTTCACCCTGGATCCTGAACCTTTTGAATCATGTTCCCAACCTTTTATTCGTGACATTCATGTCTTCAACATTTTAAAACGAGTATCTCACCAAGCGAAACTGCCTTTTTGGACGTTAAATGTCAATGGTACACGAACATGATATTTATTCGAATCGGCAAAATTGTCTAATAAAGAGTAATGCTTAATGTAATTTCAGTAGTCAACTCTTGCTTTTCGAAATAAAAAATAAACTTATTTAGACAAATTTATCCTTTTCGTCCAGATATCATGTGTGTTGCCTAGAAATTCAATGCCTTAATCGACATTTTCCGCCAAGTAAGGATACCGCGTGTGTAGTGTTAGAATTTGGAATTGTGTATTATAAATAGAAAGTTGGGGACATGACTGCCGCACCAATGAAAAATTGAGGACCCTAAAGGAATTTACCCTTTATCTAGAACCAGTTTCTAGATAAAGAAGCAAAATTCCTATTTTTTTCCATTTTTAAGTGGATATAAATCCACCGAGAATGGTCCAATGTTTCTCTTTTTGCCATTTTTAAGTGGAAATAAATTCCCTGAGAATGTGGTTTTCTATTCTCGTCATTTTGTTGTTTATCTCAAAGTTTTGAGTTTGATCAATAACCTAATTGATTTAAAACAAAAATCATACTAAAAAATTGGGGACTAAATTCCATGAATGATCAATTTATTTATTCAAGACTTCAATCACGTCATAAGTTCTCAATTGCATTTAAAAAAAAAATAATAATAATAATAATAATAATAATCTTTGTTAGTATTGACTTGCTAACAAAAAAATGGTTAAACATCGTGAAAAGTAGTGATTTAAACTCTTATAAAATGATTTATACTTTTATACTTATCCCAACATAAGATTTTATCAAACGTTAGACGGTGGCGTATTTAAGTCGAACCAACCCATCCATTTGAACTTAATAATTTTGATATTATATTAAGATTCGAGTTTCGAATATGTCATTTTTATTATGAATTTGTGATAACCAATAGAATTCTCCAATTTCTAACCTAATCTCCTCCGTAGCATTCCACGTGCCACAAACTGCTACACAAATTACCCATCAAGCATTGAAAGGGTTTCCTTGAAACATGCAATACCACAAGCCAAATCGCGACACTCTATACTGGAAAAAATAATAAATAATAAATAAATAAATGACAAAATAATATTTTTCCGTTTTATTCAAAAAACGAAGAAATTGCTAATTTCATTCTTGAAATTGAAAAATGAGTGTAACTTTTGTTGATGCTCCAACAGTCGTACAATTTGTAAACGATTTCAAAACATTCAACAAACGGGTAAAAAAATATTTTTCACGTTTTCTCATGATTTTTTTTTATTTTTAACACCACGTTCATAATATATATATATATATATATATATAATTTTTTTCAAAGATTCAACTCTCAAAAAACTCTTTATCAATCAAGCACTTTTATTAATTTCTAACTAGTCTCACTGATTAGATAAAATGGAGAGAGGTCTTATTTTCATTTCTTTCATTGTTATAATTATTGACTTTTAGGGATTTTAAGAAAATTTTCAATCTAACATAATTTTAAATCGATTTCATTATAAATTTGTTGTATGTATATAATTATTTAGGGTTTTGATAATGGTACATCAGGATGTATCTGATGGTGTACACCCCACTCACATGGACAAGAGACCCACTCGAATAAAATATCATTTCTTTCACATGGATCTCACACACATGTGAGTGGGTGTACACCATTCGGTACATTCCATTCTGTGCCACTAGACAAATTCAATTATCTATTACAATTTTTGACCACTCTAATTTCACTTTCTTTTTTCTTTCTACTTTATCACCCTTTCTAAAGATTCTTTTGAACAACTCTTTGAAATTAAAGAGAGTCTCGACCACTCTCCAACTAATGATAAATACAAGAACCCGTGTTGGTAAGTAGTGCACGCCAATACTTCTTGATTGTTTCCCTCTGGACTTTGAATTTTAATACCCAAATTTCAAATTTATCATCCCTCTTATCTGTTTGAAAAATGATTGAGGTATATTGTGGTGTCCACACCCGGCGCCTTGGTATTGGCCGAGGTGCCTGTGAGCCCAGGTGTGACAGGCGCCTCGGCCAGGTGTCCATTTTGAACATCACAATGTACTCATAGCACTGCCGTGTTTGTTTTCCCCACTTTTCTCTCTTCCTTCATCTTTTCTATCTTTTGCCGACATTCGCACCTGCAGTCTCACATCATAATTAAGGTATTATTATAATTTAATATCAGAAATTAAATAAACGTTACTTTTCATGCACTGCAAGTTGATCTATTTGATTCCTCTTTAACTTTATATGAATAATTGATGTTATAATGTCACTATCATAATAGTGGCTGTTAAATGTGGATAGATAATTAATCCGGACAGACTGGATGTGAATGGATAACAAAGAAGAGTAAATGTGGTAATAATCCATGGTGCTTCTGAGAAAAAAATAAAATAATAATGCATTTTAGTTTCATTTAATTGGTTGGAACTCGACTCTACAATGAAAACATACATTTCATTTTTAGCCTCGTCTAATATTTTTTAATGTAACATATCAAACGCATAGTTAATGCGAGTCTCATTTTACATTGGTCTGACTTGGATTTTCCTTTCATGCTTGGATCCTGCACATCTATTTGATTGGTTGAAAAAGACATTTTCGGAGAATAGATAAACATCTTCATATTATCTGGGGAGGAATGAATTGTAATTCCTTTATTATTATGATTAGAAAACTTGACAGAAGCACAGTTTTTCACACATCGCACAATATCTCATTTAGGAATATACAACTAGCATAATTCATGCAAGATTTCTTGCTGATTTTTTTCCACAGCTGCAGTGTTGAGAATTTTGAAATTTGCTGTACTCTTAGCAGATGTGAAGCAACTGTTATCTCATTTCTAGCATCTAAGGGATCGAATCGAACGGTGGTTCATTTTCTGGCAAGGATGGTGATAATTCAAGATTCATGAACAAACCGGCAGGGACAGCTGCAGAAATGGACTGAATTGAAAGCAGCGTAGTTGATGTCATTCTAGCATCCACCGCCACCTATTTGCTGACTCTCAACGTGTAAAATCACCTTTATCCCTTACATTTTTTCCTTCTTTCTTGACATTTAAGTAATACTGTAAGAGATGAACTTCAATCGATTCAGAGTACTTAAAATTTTCATAGCATGCTGCCAAGAATTTTATATATATAATGTCAAGAATTAAAATTTAGCTCACGGACTGGCCCCAGAATTAAAATTTAGTACGCGGACCCCAGCCCTGAAATTTGACACACAAGGTTAAATGGCACAGAGCTCTCTTATGTGAAATATGCAACGGATAAGGCTTCTTGGGCAGATTCTATAATAACTGGGAAGTAAAGGATGTGGCACTCCATAATTATAAGAAAATAAAATATCCTTTCTTCTATTATTACAACACAGTAAATAAACAATACATGACTTTTTTATGTTGATCATATCAACATGTAAAAGAACCCCCTCGACTTTTATGCTATACAATGGTGCAACTTGGTTGTCTTTCATCTGTACAAGAAGAGAAAAGAAGAAGAAGAAGAAAATAGCAGAGAAAATGTGAAGTTTTTCACAAAAATGCATCCATGATGAACTTACAGTGGAACATTGCAATATGTAGGGATCATTATTCAGGGATTCTTGAAAATCCGAGCACTATTTCTGAACATTGTATTTCAGACTCTCAATTTCAGCTCACTTGTCCAAAACTTCACTAGGGGAAGAATATCCCATTAACCGATGCAGTGGAAAATTTGATGGTTCTGGTAGCTCTTCAATTTCAAAGGATCCTTTTTTCCACTTAGCCACCATCGGTGAAGCTCCGGTCGGTTTAGAGGTTTGCAACGAACTTTCATTCTTTATCCTGTGTCCCCTCCATACAGACTTCATTTTTGTATCTTCCATGGGCTCAAAAGAACTGCTAGACGACATCTTTCTGTTGTAAGCATTCCACTCAAGGCGGTCAGCTGAAGGTGTAAGAAATGAAGCCTCCCCTTCTGTTGAGCAGCTTCTACAGAAAGACAGCCCATAGTCGTCAGAACATGACACAGGTTCAGCATGTGAACATGAATTAGCATGAGATGTTGGCACCAGAATTCTGTGACTGATCGCATCACTATAATCATCAGCCTCACTGGGCGGCGGAGCTGAAGCTTCTGGAAAGTATGGAACTATGTGCATTCTTTCCAAGAGCGAGAATTTCAGAACCTTCCCACATGCATTGCACCTCAGCTGATGATATTTTTTCTTGAAGAGGAGAAAGTCTGAAGGCAGCTGCAACAGTTCCGAGCAATGATAACAAGAAATAAGTGGGGCTCCACCAGATATTGGCCGGAGATGTCTCTTCATTATGTGATGCTTTTCCCGCGAATATAATCTTTTCATCTCTTTGTCTTTATGCTTCCTCTCATCGGACATTTTCTCTAGTACCCATAAAGATTGCTCAGAGCTCGTGTAATGCTGGGGACTGGAGGAACTAGAGGCAAGGACATTACAGCAGTTATGACCAGTGTGGACGACACAGTGACCATTGTTACAGAGCACGGAATGTGAAGGTAACTGAGCGGAGCGGTGCCAGTCTTGCGGACAACAATGCAAACATGAGCAGTTAACCTGGTGTCTGTAGTGAGCAGACTCTCCAGAAAATGCCATTCTCAAGTCCTTGCGTCTTTGGGGCCAACCTTTAAACGGACTGTGTCTGACAGGATATGTGGGATGGCTCAAATCTGCATACACCTCCCTTTCTGGTGCTAAATGTTTGTAGTACAAGGGAGTTAACTTTTCCTTCACAACACCAGCAGGAAACCTTCCACTTGCTGTTAGTTTTGAAAGTTGCATCCTATTGAGCTGATCTTTCAGTTCAAACACCGTTCTCAACAAGTCCACTTTGTCTGGTTCAGAGTATGTAGGCCTATCTGATGACTGGTAAGCTCGATGATTTTGGAGCGAACTTCGATGATAACTTGATGGGCTTCCATTTCTGTGGCCAGCTTGGAAATCTCTAGAAGTGAATGCCAACCTAGGTGCTGCTGTTTCTTTGTCCAATCTCATCCTATTACCACTCTTGTGGCCACGTCTTCTGGTTTCAGGCAAATCAAATTGGCGCCTAATGCTGCTGCCTTCCATGGAATGATATTGCTTTCCTTGTAATGAGGACGAGGAACTGCCTGCCCAATATTGCATCTCTGACTCACTACTGCTCATGCTAGTCTTATTTAATCCATCCTTTTTTTGCAATTCAGCAGTGCTGGTGGAGAATTTATCCTTGAACTTTCTTCTAGGGGGCTGCGAGACATGGTTGGGAACTTGATCATCGGCTCCATCATAAGAAGATACGCTGCCCTCATAAATATAGTAACGTTTGGTCATTGGAGATTTAGACATATCTACATGTTTAACATCGTGCTTAGAACTAGGGTCGACAGTGGGTAAACTAGTATCTACTGAGCTGACTCTACCAAAACTTCGTGTATCTTCTCTATGAGAATGCTCCAGCTGCTCAGCATCGGGAGAAAAGCGATTAAGAGATGTATTGTTCTCATTAAAGCACCCGTGAGCAGCAGCTAAAGAATCTCCTGTATCTCCATTCACATGATTTTCTGTGCCTGAGCTTCTGATGAGAGGAAAATTCTTGATATCCTCATTTGCTTCAGCCACGCCTCCAGCTACCAGTGAAGATTTTCCATTTGCAGGCGAAGCAATCTCAAAGGGTGAAGAATCTTGACTATTATTATCCATTTCATCGTGAAGCCACCCATTCAGACCCTTTTCATTATTTTCTGGCGAAAGATGAGTACTTTCGTCCCCTTCTCTATGTTCTCTACCATCTGGAGGCAACTTATTCTTCTGTTGATCATGCTCGGATAAAGACCGAACTTCATCAAGGAAGTTGTCAACTGCACACGGTTCTGTTCGAGAATCTCCACATTCCCTTTGTTCTCTACCATCTGGAGGCAACTTATTCTTCTGTTGATCATGCTCGGATAAAGACCGAACTTCATCAAGGAAGTTGTCATCTGGACACGATTCTTTTTGATAATCTCCACATTCCCTTTTATCCCTTCCAGTGCATTGCTCCAATGGATTCTTTTCACCTGATTTCACATGTTTCCTGACTATTGGGGTTGAAACATCGGCCTCCTGACTTACTTCATCAGAGGGATTTCTGCCTGGAACTCTTTCCCCATTCCAATCCTGAATTTCACTTTCACATCTTTTAGAACTTTTCCCAAAAGGATATTGGCCTTCGTCATCCTGTTTCAACTGTTCTGTGACTTCTGCAGATAGAACTTTATTCTCGAAATCGCTAACCTCATGTGTGCTAGGAAGCTCATCAAAGAAACTCCAATCTTTGCATTGCTCTCCATTGTAGTCCGTAAAACTATTTAGACTCTTTTTACTATTTTTTGGGGAAAGAAGTGTACTTTCATCTGCTTCACTATGTTCATCATCTGGAGGCAACCTCTTCTTCAGATGATCATGCTCAGGTAAAGAGCCAACTTGGTCAGAAAGGTTGTCACTTCCACACCATTCTGTTCGAGAATCTCCATGTTCCTTTTGATCCCTTCCAGTGCATTGCTCTGATGGATTCTTGTCATCTGATTCCACAAGTTCTGTGATTTCTGGGGTTGAAACATCGGCCTGATGACTGGTACATTCACTTGAACTAGGAAATTCAGCAGAAGGGTGTTTTCCTGCTAGCCTTTCCCCATTGCAATCCTGAAATTCACTTTCACGTCTTTTGATATTTTGACCTAGAGGACATTTGCCTTCTTTATCCTGTTTCAACTGTTCAATGACTACTTTGGACAAATCTTTATTCTCATTACCACTAACCTCAAGCGAGCTAGAAAGCTCATGAGAGAACCTTGTATCTTCACATTGATCCCCATTGTTGTCCCCAGATTCACCTTGATCTCTTGGTTTATATCCATCTGGCAAAGATATTCCACCTGATGGGGTTAAATCCAGATTTGAGATGCTCACTTCATTCTCCTTCACAATACTATCCAGCTCACTGTCCAAAACTCGGTTTGTTTCTTGCAAGTGTACTCCATCGTGGTTGGACAAATCTTTATTCTCATTACCACTAACCTCAAGCGAGCTAGAAAGCTCATGAGAGAACCTTGTATCTTCACATTGATCCCCATTGTTGTCCCCAGATTCACCTTGATCTCTTGGTTTATCTCCATCTGGCAAAGGTATTCCACCTGATGGGGTTAAATCCAGATTTGAGATGCTCACTTCATTCTCCTTCACAATACTATCCAGCTCACTGTCCAATGTTTCTTGCAAGTGTACTCCATCGTGGTTGGACAAATCTTTATTCTCATTATCACTAACCTCAAGCGAGCTAGAAAGCTCACGAGAGAACCTTGTATCTTCACATTGATCCCCATTGTTGTCCCCAGATTCACCTTGATCTCTTGGTTTATCTCCATCTGGCAAANGTCAAGCAACCCAATACTGCCAAGTAATTTCCCTTCCACCATTCAGTCTTCTTCCTGGTATTTACAACTCTCTCTCTCTCTCTAAAAAAGCACAAAACATGGAAGTCTTGTTCCGTGTTAAAGAAACTTGTATATCCCAAGTCTCCTCTCTCTCTCTCAAAACACACACAGACACACAGTGTAATCTTACAGACCGATAGTGGGGTAGAGGGTGTTAAAGTCGGCGCGTCGGCTGGTTGAGGAGCGAGAGAGGGACGACGTGTTTAACCGTTCAAAGTCATGCTAAAACACGCACTTTTCCTGTGCTATTTTCTCTTTGAGATGAAATTACATACTTACCCCTCCTCATGTTTTTATTGCCAAAAATGTATTTGTTTTTGGCAAAAACTATTTAAAAAAAAAAAAATATTGTAAGCTTGTTTAGGCGAATTTTTGTCCTCTTTCTTGCTTCATAACACGTTGTATTAAAATATAAATTTTAATTCATTTTGGGAGAAATAATACTTTGTTTTTTTTTCCCTTTAAAATTCAATTACACGAGTGATTATTCTTTAACCTATGATTTCACGAAAAAGGCTTCAATGAGTTTGTGTGCTATAATGTCTAGATCGGAGCAATGCTTCAACAATAAATCTTTCTTCAATTGTTTTTGTCTTGCTTCTCCATCGTTACTTAGCTACTAGAAATAAGGGAATTGTCGTATAAGAATATTTGAGGAAAATAGGGAACGCACGTGTTACGGACTAACAATAATAGGTTGTCTCCATAATTTATACAACTAATTGAATTGGTTTAAACTTTAAAATAAATATTCACCTTTTGGAGCAGCAGAGCTTCTTATCATTATTAATTTTCGGGTAGTTATTGCAAAAGCTTTGTACAATTATTATTTATAATACAAATTTAGTTTACAGGTTAGAGAACAAATTTCTCCAAGTTGGATGTAACCAAATGATATAAATTTTATATTTTTTGATTTTAAAATCAAAATGATGTTTTAATATATACAATTAACAATATATTCATTCGAGAATAGTGTTTATTCAAGTCAACAGTTCATTCAAGAAAATGTTGTCAAATATCTTAATCAAATATATACATGATCTTCAAAATTTGATATTATACGTTTCTACATCTCACAATATTTTTATTTTTTGAATCATATTACATGTATGTCGAGGTTTCCATCCCCTTCACATGGAAGAGGACCTGCTTCAAATATAATATAATTTCTTTGAAATGGGCCCCTTAATGTAAGGATGATGGACATTCGAATGGACACCACTTGATGCATAAGTAGTATTATCCGTATTTTTTATGTAAATAATAGAGAATTCAATTCAACTTGAGGCAAAGAAGAATACTAAAAGATCAAGGTCAAACCTATCAAATGGCGTTAATAGTCGGCGTGGACTGACTGGCGTTGACTAATGACCTTTAACTAGGTTATGATCGGCTCGGCGGGCCAACAAGTTAAATGGGGAAGCCGACCAAACCAGAAACAGTTGGATTGGCTAATTATAGATTTGTGACCTCAATGCTTCCGTCATCATGACCTTTTAATTTTGAATTTGTGACGTAATAAATGAAATGATGTGAACGAACCATTACGAAAAGGAAAAGTCTATATGTATATAATTATTGCACATAATGTGATGTAACAATCATCCGATTGTTGATGTAAAAGTGTGAGATTTGAATTAAAGATTGGATCCAGTACTACGTATAATTGTGGACACAATTATGTAGATAATTATGTACATGTAGTACTTTCCTTACGAAAAGTATTGTGAAAATTTCCGCAAGTCAAACATATGAGAATTCTATTGTGATGTAGACTCCAAAATACGAAGAATTATTCGTGAAGTATTTCTAGAAGGTATCAATATATATTGAACAGAAAATTATTGATCGCCCAACTTACAAGTTTGTTTTATATTGATAATTAATAAATTTAATCATCCCACTAGTATTTTGTTTCGTTTTTATAACTCCATTTATATTTATATTTTAATTGACTAATTTTGCCTTTAATTGTTATCAAGAATTGATAATATTCGTGACTTGGTCAATGAATCTCGTGATTTTGCTAACAAAATAGATCCAATTTTTATATACGTCCGACCATGAAAGACTTTTACAAAACGAGAAAAATTTCATTAACATGCAAACTTGTAAGTTAAATGGTCTCCAAATGAAAATTTTCCCAGATGTTTAAAAGAGCTCAAAATGTTTACACAAATGATATCGACACGTTGGTATTATGTAGCAAAACCACATCAAAGTCGTAAAGAGGTTACAATCAAATGAGGCGTACATGTAAATTTTGTTGAGTTCTAATACAAATCGACAAGAATGATTGTAAACCCTTCAATATTTGATGTTTGTAAAAGAAAAAAAAAATTCTAGGGAAGGAAACAAAAAAGATTAATTTTCTAAAATGATCTAGAATTTTAGAATTGAATGGAAGAAATTTAGTAGCAATTTTGAAAATTTTAATGTTGCTTGGCTCATTGCGGGACTGCAAACTAGTGTTTAAAATGGTTGCAACATGCCCTTAGAGACATCTGCACGGACATGCACCCGTTCATGTTGGGGTGTAAGGAGTTGGTCTAGCTTTTGCTGTCAAAACAAGATACGTACGAGGATCTTACGAATTTAGCCGAACATTGTTTACAACGATAATATTGTTAAGACTTGGGGTCCATCTTAATAAGGTCAACCTTGTTAAGAGGAATGTCCCAATTCTTTATATATTGATCATTATTTCGGTATTTTACCGATGTGGGATTATATTCCCTTAACATGCCCCCGCAAGATGGTGGCTCGTTTGAGCAGACCAATCTTGAAATCCGTGTGCTCATTTTTAGAGACTTAATCGGATCGAATCGCTCGTTGGAGCTTAATGGGCTCTGATACCATGTTAAAGTTTGGGGTCCATCTCAATAAGGTCAACCTTGTTAAGAGGAGTGTCCCAATTCTTTATATATTGATCATTATTTCGGTATTTTACCGATGTGGGATTATATTCCCTTAACAAATATTGTTAAGAATTAGTAATATTAATTCTATGCCATGAAAATGAAACCACATTAAAGAAAAATATATAAAAGAACACATAAGATTTATAAAGGTCTATCTTAATGTAAAACTAAATCCTCTTCCATTGTTACGGCAATTCACTATGATAAAAACAAGTTTGAAAGAAAAAATTGCACACCCTCTTTCTTTGACCTCTTTATCCTTTTTATGATGATTGAATAAACCCTAATGACATCTTTTTATTTACAAGAAAAATTAGAGCAAAACGAATTGACAGTGTGAAATTTATGAATTGTCCTTAATAAAATTAGATCGATTTGTATATGGACTCCACGAGCGACAATAATTAAATTCCACAACTTATGACAAAAACGAAATTAGAAGTGTGAAATTCCTGAATTACTCTTAATGAAATTAAATCAATCCATACATGAATTCATCGTAGACAATAATTAAGTTACAAATATGACATTGATCACGTCAATAACTCATTAGCACCATAAGCATGATACATTCTCCTATTTCCTTCAAAGAGCAAGCTAATTAATGTAATTTTTTACAATCATTATTTGAGAAAAATTAATATTTTAAGTAAGAATGATTGTAAACCCTTCGATATTTGATGTTTGTAAAAGAAAAATATTTCTAGGGAAGGAAACGAAAAGGATTAATTTTCTAAAATGATCTAGAATTTTAGAATTGAATGGAAGAAATTTAGTAGCAATTTTGAAAATTTTAATGTTGCTTGGCTCATTGCGATGATACATACGTGTGAACTGCAAACGAGTGTTTAAAATGGTTGCAACATGCCCTTAGAGACATCTGCACGGACATGCACCCGTTCATGTTGGGGTGTAAGAAGTTGGTCTAGCTTTTGCTGTCAAAACAAGATACGTACGAGGATCTTACGAATTTAGCCGAACATTGTTTACAACGATAATATTGTTAAGAATTAGTAATATTAATTCTATGCCATGAAAATGAAACCACATTAAAGAAAAATATATAAAAGAACACATAAGATTTATAAAGGTCTATCTTAATGTAAAACTAAATCCTCTTCCATTGTTACGGCAATTCACTATGATAAAAACAAGTTTGAAAGAAAAAATTGCACACCCTCTTTCTTTGACCTCTTTATCCTTTTTATGATGATTGAATAAACCCTAATGACATCTTTTTATTTACAAGAAAAATTAGAGCAAAACGAATTGACAGTGTGAAATTTATGAATTGTCCTTAATAAAATTAGATCGATTTGTATATGGACTCCACGAGCGACAATAATTAAATTCCACAACTTATGACAAAAACGAAATTAGAAGTGTGAAATTCCTGAATTACTCTTAATGAAATTAAATCAATCCATACATGAATTCATCGTAGACAATAATTAAGTTACAAATATGACATTGATCACGTCAATAACTCATTAGCACCATAAGCATGATACATTCTCCTATTTCCTTCAAAGAGCAAGCTAATTAATGTAATTTTTTACAATCATTATTTGAGAAAAATTAATATTTTAAGTAATGATTTGAGGAGAATACGTGATTAAAATATATAGAAAATTTTTGAATTTAATCACAAAATATTTTATTATATAAATGTGTATTTAAAAATAAGTATGCCAAAAAAAAAATTCAAATAATGGTTATCAAACAAGAACATTATTGGTCTTGCAATTGAAGAAATCTTAGTAATCTTCACCCCTATTCCGCAACCCAACCCACGCCACCCCACACCCAACATAGGATCATCTAAATGACTTGACCTGCGGTTCTTGAACGTGAAGGAACTTGATATTATTGGGCAGAAGAACTGGCCTCATCAACATCAGTTGACCTATCTACCATTTATCAAAGGACCTCCAAGTCAACATAGGGTTAATTATATGAATGGTCAGTGAACTTTGTCCTATATTACTAATTAGTCACTGAACTTGAAA